GGTAGTCATTTTCACTTTCATATTTAAATATGACAGCTTTCTGATGCCTGAAAGAAACAGAGACCTCAATTTATCTAGTCCATATAACAAGCCAATTAACCCTGTGCTGGCTAATTTTAGCTGTCAATCTAACACAGCATAGAACCACCCAAGAAGAGAGAGAGTTTCAGTGAAGAATCACTGGTCTGTGGGCATGTCTGTGGGGGTTTGTCTTGATTGATAACTGAGGAGGAAGAACCCAGTCTGAGTGTGGGTGATGCCCTTCCATGACCTGGCCCTTAACTGTGTAAGATAGTGAGAAGCTGTCTTGGCAGAGGCCACAGGCAAGGGTGGCTGTGTTCTCCCTGCACCCTTGACTGTAGGTATGATGTGTCAGAAGCCTGAGTCCCTTAGCCCCGAGTTCCCCAAAATGATGGACTGTCACCTAGCAGCCAAATAAATCCCTTTGTCCTTTATGTTGCTTTTGGTTGGAGTGTTTTATCACAGCAACAGAAATAAAACTTTGACATTATCATAGTATTTATATAAATTAATTCTTTTTCCTGAGACAAAGTTTCGCAATATAGCTTTGGCCACGACCAAGCTGGCCTTGAACTCATAGAGATCTGCTCTGATTGAAGGTGTGCACCATCACATCTGACTCCCTACAGCGTTAATGATAACACCCACACTTACCCTTCGGACTTAGCATGTATATTAAATAGCAAATATTAAAGACCACTGTTGTATATTAAATATACATACATTGAAACTCAAGTTTCTCACTATAGGGTCTCCTGTGCCTATCTTGCAGTGCCATGCTGTTCTAGTTATTTTAGCTTTGTAACATATTTTTATGTCTTTAAAGTCAATGCCATTCCTATTTCATCATTTTCAGTGCTGCCTCTGATGATTTTTCCTTTTAATTGCTTGTTCCTTAAATTTAATTATAAGTCTTGTGTGAATCATGTGTGAAGTTTGCAAACTATTTACTTAAGATTTTAGCTAAAATGATGCTTATATTAATTAATTAAATTAATTAAAGGTTTTTTTTGAAGTCTTCATAAAATACTTATTTCAGCCTAAAAGCAGACTGTGTCTCTCCAGCTAGTCAATTTTGTGGGTTTTTTTTTTAACTAAGTCTTACATTTTTAATCATGTTTATTCTGAGACAGTTTAGATTTTTGTTACAACTGTAAATGGGGTTTAATGGGGTTTAAAAGTACATTTCATTAGTATTATTAGCATGTAGAAAAGTTCTATGTGTTTTTAGTAACAGCTCAATTTACTTTTCTATCGGCTTGGTTGTTTTCAGGGTTTCTGAAAAGGAATTCTCACATAGACAATCATGTCATTTGAAACTAAAAAGATTTAGGGGCTTAATTTCTTCTTTCACTGTAGTTGTACCTTGTTTGTTGTTGTTTGTTTGTCTGTCTGTTTCTTTGTTTTCCTTACTGCTCAGCTAGAACCAGTTCTGGGATGTAATAAACGTGCAGGCTCCTCCTTCTGGAACTCCTTAGGGATCACACATGTACCTGCCGTCCCCCCCCCTTTTATTGTTCCTTCCTGGGTCCTTGGAGACTTGTTTGAGCTTATCCTTGAATTCTCAGATGTAGGCTTCTAGAGTGTCTAATATGAGTTTCACTGTTCCTTTTTTAACACTCAGCAAACCATGTTTTTTTTATCTCTTTCTTTAGAGAGTAACGAGTGGCCCCCAATGCCACCTCCATGGTCTCTGTGGATCCACATCTCCCCAGGGCCACCCTGGCCCATCTTCATCCTCCTGGAGTCCACGGCTCTGCGGTTCCCTAATTCTCAACTAACTCCCTTCTCTGCCATCTTGTCTCCACACTTGCTTGAGTTCCTGGGTTTTTCCTTTGATTCTCCACAAGTTATCCCTAGATGGGATTCAGCATCCCCAGATACAGGATAATTTTCCGAGTCTTGGGAAATGCATGAAAAGGCCATTTCTGCCTGTCTTCCAACACCTCACTTGCTGGCTCATTGTCTTCCAGCTCAGGTCAGCATGATCTTGCCCAGGAGAAAATTATGGACTCACTCTGGATGTCTCCTTCTCCAAGCAGCCCCATGTCATCACACGCTCCATTTGCGTTGCCTGAAAAGATATTTTTCTGACCTTTTATCTGCTTATCTTTTGAGATGGAGCTCAATCCTTTATGCCTATGGTAGAAAAATTCAGGCTGCTCTCCACATTCCCTTAGAGTTACATAAATGCCCCTCTGTTAGGATGCTTGGGACAGTGTGAAGCACTTATGTGTGTGTCCAGGTCAAGAAGAGGACCGAGATGCCTGTGCCTGTCTCCCATCCTTACTTTCTTCTTTCTTTCTTCCAGGAGATCACCAGCCTAAGTCTCCATCTGAGTTAAGCCTAATTGCCACAGTTAACCAGCATGCTGCTGGAGAATATAATCCTATTCTTCTTCCTATCCCCAAATTACCCATAATTCCTTCCTTCCTAATAGCCTCGCCTCTAATCACAAAAAGCCATGGGCAGTCAGAAGACAGTGTCAGGGTTTGTTAGTGTTGCATCTTCCACTTCTGCGTCTGTCCCTGCTCATAACAAAGACCCAGTTTTCTGGGTTTGTTCTGGGTCCTCTGGCTTGGCAGAGACTTGGCTTTTACAATGATCCCCTTTCTCCCCCCTGCCATCTGTACCCCCTTCCTACTAGAGGATCCCAACTGGTTTACAAGCATTCCTGTGTATTATCCATCAAAAAATAAATAAATAAAATCTCTTGAGTCTCTCGTCCCTAGTGGAAGCCACTCCACGTCTCAGCTTTGTTCCACGCCATCTTTAACTGCCTCTCCACTTCCAAACGGCCCGTCTCTTCTCAGCCCCTCCCACTCCTTCCAACCCCACCCAGACAGGTCTTACCAAGATAACAGTAATCTCCAAGTTGTCAATTCATTTGCTCATTCCTGGGTCTACATCTTGCTCTTCTAGAACACAGTTGTTCTCAACCAGCGGGCCGTGACCCCATTTGGAGTCAAAAGACACTTTCATTGGAGTCTAATATCACTGATCCTAGATACCAGACGTTTACATTGTGATTCACAACAGTAGCAAAATTATAGTTATGAAGTAGCCACAAAAATAATCTGATGGTAGAGTCAACACAACACAAGGAACTGTATTAAAGGGTCACAGCGTTAGGAAGGCGGAGAACTGCTTGAATCTAGAAGTATTCAATGTAGGTTGGCCCCCATCCTCCTTCTTTACTTTTTGGTGACTTTATTTATTAGTGTGTGTGTGTGTGTGTGTGTGTGTGTGTGTTGTTTGAGACAGGGTCTCTAGCTTCCTATGCAGCTGAGGATGCCTTTGAACTTCTGATCCCTCTGCCTTTCCTTCCTGATTGGCTGGATGATAGATGTAACACCATGCTCCCTTATGCGGTGCTTGGGGTCACATCCAGGGGTTCCTGCATGCTAGGCAAGGACTCTACCAAATGCCCCACACTCTCTTTCTTGGGACACACCTGCTCTCCAAGTTTCACCTCCCTCACCTACCTCTGTCTCCTTTGTCAGGTTCTTCCCTCTTGGTGTTTGCATGGTTCAAAGCTCAGTCATGAGTCCTCCTTTCTCCTGTGTTAGCTCTCTTGTTAGGTCACATGCTTACAGATTCCAAGTCTGAGGCTCGCAGATGTACAAATACAGCTGGCCCAGTGATTACCCTTGAACTCCAGCTTCTGATATGCAAGCTTGGGTTGTCTTCTAGCCCACCTTTCACACTTATCGGATCTGAAACAGAAAGCCAACGCCCTCCTCCAAACATTCTCCCCTCCTAATCACTATGTTCATTGGCCCAGCTGCCAGACAAGCATGGTGGCCCACAAAGGGAATCCCAAAACTCAGTGGCAAGAGCAGGAGAAATGTGAGTTCAAAGCCAACTTGGGTTACACAGCATGACCCTGTCTCAAAGACAGAACAAAACAAACAAACAGCCAGGTGCTCAAGCTGAAAATGAGAAGTCACTCCTGATTTTCTCTCTCCTTGCCCTCCTCTCTGTTCTACTGTCCAGTCCGTTAGCCAGCCCTGCTGAGTCTACCTGAAAATGCTTCTCTAAGCCGCCTCTTGGTTTCGAGTTCTGCCTCTACCATTGTCACCCAACATACCATCATCCTTTCCGAGCTCCTGCTGCCTCTTGTATCCCTTGCTTACCATTCCTCTCCCTGGCAGCCCACCTAATCTCCCTAAACACCTAAAACAAGGCATAACACTATCCTGTGTGATCCACTCCTCACCTGTGCCTAGAAAACCTTCGGTGTCTCCCAACTATCACTTGCCACGCAACACGTCTACTCCTCTCCATGTCTGCTCTTGGTCAGGCCATAGAGTTCTTTCCACAAATACACCAGGAAAAGCCACCCCCTTTTCTCCCTCCCTCCCTCCTCTCTCTCCCTGTCTATGCCTCCCCAGCCCACCCTACTGCACTTTCAACAGAACACTGGTCACAACTGGGTATGTCCTTTGTTATGTATTTATTCTTATTACCTGTGTCTTGAAACAAAAGTTTCCTGTGCCATTTTCCTACACCTGGAGTAGTTCCCAGCACACAGGAAAAGCTAAATGTCTGTTGAAGGGCTGGACTTGCCCAAGTGGCTCTAACAACGGAGCAAGCTCTCACTGGTTTGTTGGGTGAACAGTATCTGAGAGTGTACTGGAAGCTTCTGGAGGATGGACACCCTGCTGTAGGCCTCACCATTTCCTCCGAGCTACCTATTGTGATGCCATGGACCCCCCCTCCCCATTCCCAGGTACTTAGTAAAATCTTGTTGGATTTATTTCTATATCAAGGCCAAGAGTCCTATCGACTAATTCGTAGACTTCATTTTTCTGAGAATAAGCTGAGGAAAATCCCATGAGCACAGGAACAAAGTGGGTAGGATGCAGTAGGCACCTTGTGTGCTCAGCAGGAAGCAGGGAATAAAGTCTTTTCTTTTGGTACTGTCCTATCAAGTGCCAGGCACGGTGTTACATTACTTCTTGATGCATGTGTTACAGGGTGCACAGTACCTGCTGGTGATGGTGGATCCAGATGCCCCCAGCAGGTCTAACCCCAGGATGAAATACTGGAGACACTGGATAGTGTCCAACATCACAGTAAGGAGGGCAAGGGGTATTTTCAATTCAAACTTGATTAGAACTGTTTGGAATTGTAACTGGGAGGTCATTGCCCTGTATGGTTTTTTAGCGCTCATCCAAGAGAGCTGGAGATGAGGGTGAGTGGGGCCTTCTGGGTGAAATTCCCAAAGTTTCTAAAAACTTCAAAGACATATCTAAATGTGAAGCGTGGTGTGCTGGGCGAGAGCAGCAGGAAGCTCCAGCTTTCTGTGCGGTCGCCGTTCTCTGTGACAGAGCTCCCCTCTTCCATGACAATTTCAAGGTATCAGTGACTGAAGAACTGACCCACAAAACTTCTAGAAGTCCACAAGCACATCATTGTGGATTTGCCGGGGATTGCGGGGGTCCCTAGTTTTGGAGGGAGGATCATGTGATGGGCCTTCCCACTGCTGCATCAGGGGCACAAAGGATGCAGGGAGAGTTGCCTTCTTTATACAGAAATAAGCAGCTGCCTGTAAGTTTGTTTCATGACAGCTGGGGAGAAGCCTGGCTTGCCCTTTGCAGAGTATGTCTGAGGAGCAGACTATATCAACACACGAATGTTAGAGCTTCCGGCTTGAACTCATTTGGTCTCATGTCTCATCAAGTGGCCTTTTAAAGATATTGCTATCCGAATTGACATTACAGTCAGCTTCCAATGTCCTCAGGGAACCCCCGAAAGTCTCTTATATAAAATAGTGTCTGGATTGAGCCTATACACATCTTCTCACCGATTCTAAATCATCTCTAGATGATTGTCACATCTAACACAATGTAAATGCTACAGAAATAGCTTGCTGTACTGTATTGTTTGGGGAATTGACGGAAGGGAAACAATGGCTGCCCATGCTCATAGATATGATTCTCTGTCATCTATCTATCTATCTATCTATCTATCTATCTATCTATCTATCTATCTGCTATCATCTATCTACCTATCTATCTATATCGGCTTTTGGCTGAATCTGAGTATGTGGAACCCACAGATAAGAGGTCCAACAGTATATAATCCAAATGTGTTTCACAATTCTGTTCAATTCTAGACTCGGGTATTCATGAGTGACCCAGCAGTGTACTTTGGAGAAATCCATGCTAGCCCATAGGGCTCTGTGCCCAGACAACCTACTAAAAGGTTTTACGAAGACCATAGAAAGGCCTCTGCTCTATAAGATAATAGAAACTAGTGAAATGAAATTTGAATGTAAGTTAAGAGCTGTTGCCCAGCTCAGAGACCAGACATCCACTGTTGCTCTGCAATGTGTGAATTGTACTCTTTGACTTTCTGTGGCCATCCTGATGATCCCATGAAGGACACTCTAGAAAATGTAGGGAAAACCACAGTTGCAAAGGCTAGTGTCTTGACTGCTAGAGCCCAGGGCAGAGGCAGGGACATCATTTTAAACTAGCTATTAACTCCTGACAAGGGGAAGATTCTCATACCAGAGTGGGTGAGGAAAGAAGAATTACCCTGGCAACCAACCATGTCCCAGTACCAGGACTCTTGGTAAGAGTGAGGTGGTGGTGGGGGCACCCTCCTTAGGAGTTGCCAACTGAGGCCCTGATGGGGCTTCTTAAGCAGCAGTGGAGCACTTTTCCTTGAGCAGACTGTGGGAGAATTTAGTAATTAACATAGAGGCATGGCTGAGGGAGAGTTCTGGTATGTGGCAGGGACAGCAGCAGGGGACACCAAAAGCTGGGACTCTTGTCAGAACTGCCTCCCTCTGGAGCATTGTTGTTTTCTAGATTTGGGTAAAGCTCTTAGGGTGGAAGCTCAAGAGAGGATTTTTGCCAAAGGTCACATTCATAACCACCCCCACCCCCGAAAACACTTATAACACACACACACACACACACACACACACACACACACACACTCACTGTTCCCTGTGAGAGGGTTCCAGTAAGGATTCTCAGGCCAGAGGGAAAGTCATATGCCATATGGGCAGAATGATTTCCCAGCTGAGGAGCCCTGGGTCTGTGACACAGCCTCCATTCATGTCTGACACTTCCATCCCACCCACCCCATCACCCTGATAGTCATTCAGGACATAGCCTTTACACCAGCTCTGTGCTGTGAACAAGGATTTAGCCCCAGATACCCTGCTTAGAGACACAGCAGGTGGCAGGTGACAGGTGGCAGCTGTCAGGCAAGGCTGCTAAACCACAGAGCTTAACCAAAGCCACCTGCCCGGGCATGGCCTTCACTTCCCCTTCGCCCAGAGCAGGCTCAGGTTTCAGTCACATCACCACCCACTTTCCCTCTTCTGGGTGCCCAGCAGGAAGCTGCGGCTCTCCCTCATGGAGTTACTCGGCCCTGCCACCTGCCCTCATGTGCTGCAAGCCAGAAAGATGCCATCAGCCAAGTGGGTTCAGGTCTCAGGTCCCAGAGCTCTGTCAAAGGAAGAACGGTAGAGACTGGGGGTTCTGGCCAAGCCTAGAAGCCTCTTCTCCAACTTGAAGTCCACACAGAAGGGTAGGCTGATACCTTGGAGAAATGTACATTCTTGGTCCCACAAAATCTATAATCTCCACAGACTTCAGTGGGGAAGGGCCAGTTACCTGGGAACAGAGGCATCCAGGCCACTGCTCTGACAAAGTTGAAGTTCTTGGGCAAGGATCAAGTCAGCCCACATGGTGCCACAAGGTTCCCTGGCTGTGCTGTGGAAGAGCTTTGCATTCTCACAGATAACATGGTCTCCACCTTGACCAAGTGGTCCAGAGTAATTCACAGGGTAGGGAAGGCCGCAGCGCCCCAGGCTGGAATGGCTGACTGACATCATCCATTTGTAGGCCATTTTCAAGTAAAAGCACTTTGGAAACTGTTGAAACCTCAATTGCTGTGTGCAATAGCATTGTCCCTTTAAAAAAAAAAAAAACAGGGCTGGAGAGGTTCAGTGACACCCTCCACTGGCAGCAGTAGCAGACTGTAGCTGCAGGTGTTGGATGTGTGCCCCAGACTCTATACCATTCATACCATGCTACACCACTGTGGGGTCATGTCCATCAGTGCCATCATGTCCGGGGACCACCATGTCCTCTCTGTAAGATGAAAACAATCTCTGTGCCTCATTTCCCACGATTCCAGCTCACTCTTGGATGGATAGAAGTTTCCAGGGCACACTGCCCAGGGACTGCTGCTTTGGTATATAAAACACATCTGACCTGGATTTTAACCCACACCCTACCAACACCTACCGAACTACACCCAAACACACTCACCAGTAAGGCATGGGGTAAAGTCACTGCAAACAGAACAACAGTGGCCTTTTGGTTCCCAATGGACACAGAAAAAAACTGGAGGAATTTAGGCTTGCCTTGGTATCACTTGGCCAGATATAACCATACATTGGGCCAGGGCATGGCCATGAAAGCCATTCAGTGGAGATAATGTTTTGAAGGGCTATCCATACTAGAATAGTATAGAAATCAATTCTTAGGAACATGGGGAACACCTGTAGACCTCCCTCCCCCCACACACCCTAAAGATAGGCTCACAAGGTCTACATAGAGTAGGACAAGATTCTAGGCATGTGAGCATCTTAAATAAAGAGCAGAAGCAGAAAGACATCCAGAAACAGAATTAGTCCTCGTGTAGTCGTTAAGAGCAATGACCCTAGAGTCAGTCAGCTGTAGTCCAAAGCCTGCATTTTTGGCTATATGGTTCTCTGGGTCTCAATATACTTACCTGTAAAGTGGAAATATTCACAGTCTCTGCCTCACACTGTTGAAATGATATTTATATATGTTATTTCAGGTAAAACGCTTAAAGTAAAACCCCACAGCACAGAGCTACCTTTAAACAGTTGGGAGCTACACTCTGACTGCCATAGCTCCAAGCCAACTACCTCTCGTGTCACAAACGGGAATGAAACCCAGGAAGGTGCTGTCCTGCACAAGGGAGGAATTATGAGGGTCCAGGGGCAGGCCCGGGTAGCAATTCCTTTACCTGCGGGTTCCCATCAGCTCAGTAACAGGATTAGGTGGAAGCCCCCCAACCTGGCCATACCAAGGAATGCAGGGATGCAGACATCATACACCGGGTGCTCCTTGGTTCCTCTCTGACACTCTCACATTGAGTAAAAGGGATTTCTAATTGTAGCCAGACTCGGTGGCACACACCTGTGATCCCCGCACTCCGGAAGCTGAAGCACGAAGACCTGGACAGAGTTCTAGGCTAGCTGGGCCTGAGTACTGAGATGCTTCCTTAAAACACAAACAAAAGAATGTTGGTTCTCAGCAGCACACAGCGAGAGGGCATCTTCCTCCCCGGTGGCACGTCCTCAGGTTTCTCTACAGATGCTTTTCAGTTCTGCTGAAGCCCAATTGAGACATCAATTAGCCTGCATCACCATTCACTTAAGGAGAAGACTTTATTGGCTCCTTGTCTTATTTGTCTCGGAAATTAGCACGCGGGGCTTTTCATGCAGATATTTTCATTAGACTTTCTTTTTTGTTGTTAATGGGAATATTAAACACAGGGAGATGGTACTCGAATGCTTTTCCACAAAGACTATCATGATTGGTGACAAAGAATATGAAGAATAATTAAGGAGACAAGAGTACCCTTTTTTTTTCCCTTCCAAAAAAGAAAATCTTCCTAGAAACAGTCAATGATTCTAAAATTTGTCCTGAATGTCTTTTTTGTTTTAAGAAAGAAAAGGAGCCGCCGAGTTCATGCTTCCCCTTTCATTCCATGCCCTCAACCTTTGGCAGCCATAAAATGGCAACCAATTCTGACTTGAATCAAAGGGACCTCTAAGGGGTCATTATTCTGTCTACTTTTCTATAGGGTTGAATTTTTTTCTGTAATAAGAGGGTGTGTGTGTGTGTGTGTGTGTGTTTAAAGGACCTCTAAGTATGTTCAACGAATAGGGTGAATAGAAAACCCAACAAACAGAGCCAGGATTAGCACCGTTCCCTGATTTTGACTCTCTGTGGTCAGCATGTATTTGAGTGAGCCACACTGGGGCTGGGGAGACAGCTCAGTTGATAAAGTACTT